TATAATTCAGTGGTTTTTAGGATAGACACAGTTGCACAGCTACCACCATAATCTTACTGTAGAGTGTTTCATCACACCAAAAATAAGCTGCGCCGACTGTTAGTCGTCCCTGTTCCCACCCTTCTCTCCTACCCACAGGCCAGGCAGCCACTAATCTAATGTCCCTCCAAAGACCTGCTTACTCCAGGCACTTTGTCTATGATGTTTTAAGTAGGAAGACATTTCGGGACTCTCAAAATCTGGAAATGAAAGCAACAGAAATCTCAATGTTTCAAAAGAAAACTAAAATTCACATTTTTAAAATATCCACTAGGGCCGGGGACATAGTTCAGTGGTCTAAGTGCCTGCCTAGCAAGTGCAAGGACTGGGTTTGATCCCCCATGCCACATGCCGAACCAGCCACCAAAACTGGGCATGGTGGCACACACCATAATCCCAGCACTGGGAAGGTTGAAGCAGGAGGATCACTACAAGTCTGAGCTGCATAGTGAGACCCTGTAGCAAATACATGTATTTAAATATATATATATACGTATATCCATTAAACATGAATAGGAGGAAGTCAAAGGTAATATTCAGAGACCAACAAGGCTCTTGGAAAATAAAAATATAGTACCATTGAAAAAAATTCCAATAACCAGTAAGATAACAATGTACAATGTATTAATTATTGAAAATGTCCTATTAATCAGCTTTGAAGCTGTCCATTGATATTTGTTTCTCAATAAAATTAAATTTAAAAAAAATTCCACAGAAGTAGAAACAAAATTGAAAAAATTATCTTTTTTAAAAAGAGTTACAGAGGGGCTGGTGAGATGGCTCAGTGGTCTAAAGCACCTACTTAGAACAAGCTAAGCCAAGCAAAACACAGGGACCGCGGTTCAATCCCCAGCACCACATGCCAGCCAGCCCCGCCCCCTGGTGGGCGGAGCTGGCCCCCCCCCCACTCTCTCTAAATAAATAAAGAGTTACAGAAAATGAATTAAATGGTAAGGCAAGCAGAAATTAATTCAAAATAATAGTATTTCCAAGCAAAAAGTAAGGAAAGCAAAATTTCTATGAAATTTAGGTAGAAAAAGTCTTTAAATAAAAACATTTCAAGAATCAAAGGAACTTGAATTATAGACCGAGAGACCCATATATTTCCACGTAACTGATGAAGAGACACTTGAAGACACAATTCTGTGAAGCATTGCCAGGACCAGATGTGATTATAAATGCTTCCAGAGGGTGGGAGGGTCGTGGCACCTGCAGAGGGTGGGGAAGCAGAGCGGCACAGAAGCAGGGCCTTTAAAATCTGAGGCAAAATTATCTGCATCACTTAATGTTATTTTCAGACTTCAAATATCTGTAAAAGTCAATTACCTATGTACCTTTTCCTGTGAATCTGTTGAAGGCAAGAGGAGGGGAGGGAAGGAGGGCCCGAGAAACAGAAATGGGGAATTCAGTCAGCAGCGAGGATGCAGGCACCTCCCAGGGCAGCCGCAGCCGCAGGAGGCAGGCCTCGGGTTGGAGGAGGTGGTGCCTCCACATAGGAAGGAGAAGGGAGCGGAAACGAGCATGCAGAGGTACTGGTGGCTCTTCGGATATTTGAAAATGCTTCCATGGTAGGTACATAAATAGCTGCAGTGGGAGGAAGGAGCAGCTCTTAATACCAGGGACAATTGAAATCATATTTACTAAGAGAAAAGAAATGTAATTGTGGTTTACTTTGTGTTTCACTGTAATTAGCTTCCCATAATTATAATCATGAAGACACTGAGCTGTTCCACCAGAGGTGGGGACGTTAGCATTGAAGGAAGGACGTGCGAAGGCAGGGTACTGAACAAAAGGTGCTAAATCTTCTGTAGTAAAGAGCAGAAAGCAAGGGCATTTGGGAAAACATAATACTTTAGTATGCTTTATGCATTTGAGATAAAAAGGAACAGCCAGAAGAGTTGAGAACATGTTAGGTGAGAAGTCAGGGGCGGAGAGGAGACTGTTACAAGTTTAAGTGTAGCCCTTGATGTCAAGGTATTGTGTATGCTATTTTGATACACACAAAATTTTTATTTGAAGCCAGCCTGGTAGTCCAGCAGCCTGTAACCCCAGCACTTGGGAGAGGGAGGCAGGAGGATTATGAGTGTGCGGCGGCCGGCCTGAGCTACCAACCAAGACCCTGTCTCAAGAAAAAACATTTTATTTGGTGTGTTTTGTTTTTTGTTTTTTTTCCCCCAGAACTGGGAATTGAACTCAGGCCCTTGCACTTGCCAGGCAAACACGTATTCTACTGAGCCATCTCCCCAGCCCAAGAAAAAACATTTTAAAAAAATTTTTAAAAGGACAGGTTAGGGCCGGGGAGATGGCTCAGTGGAATAAGTGCTTCCCTGGCTAGCACAAGAGTCTGAGTTCAATCCCTGGTTCCGCAAAAAAAAATAAAAATAAAAAAATAAAAGGACAGGTTAGAGAATTTTTGTATTTTTTAAAAAATAGGTCTTAGTTCCATTTATTTCTGCGTTTATTATATGTAAGACCATAAGCACTCTTGAATGCATCAGCTAATCAGAATGGAGGCCAGCCTCTGAAGTGGTTGTACTTTTTATTTTAATGGACGTAAGCTGGCCACAAGTGTGCTAGAACTGAATGGATGAAAACTCGTATCGTGTCCCTTAATTGTACCAACGTGGAGCCTAAAGTCAGAGATGTATGTGAGTCTTGGAAAAAGCTCTGATCACATAGCCGCCGTTAGCAGTTAGCAGTTCATTTAATAGGACATTTAAGACTTAAATCCTGACCCTAAAGCTGCCACATGGAGAAGCCCTTTCCCACCACTAAGATACTCAAAGGTAGGGCCAGTGCTGGAGGGGCTGGAGCCCTCGTGCACGGCTGGTGGAGCCCTCGTGCAGCTCAGTTGCTGGCCCACGGTCTGTGGAGCCTTAGAGATGAGGCGCAGTTAGCACATGTCCCAGCTCTTCCCCTCCTGGTGTAATCCCAGCAGAAATGAAAACACATGTCTATCAAAAGCTCACCCATGAATGTTTACAGCGTCCTTATTTATGCCAAGCTACAGAAAGTTGGCGCAAATACCTTAGGTTGCACAGTTCCATTTATATGACATGTCCAGAATAGGTAAATCCTAGAGACAGAAAGGAGTTAGCGGTTGCTTAGAGCTGCAGCGGGGGATGTGAAACAATGATCATGGGGAAGAGTTTCTTTTCGGAGTGATGAAAATGTTCTAAAATTGATGATGGGCCATCACACAACTATGCAGATACACTAAGAAACACTGAATTATATATTTTAAGTGAGTGAATTGAAAAGGATTTTTTTAGGATAACTTTTTTATTTTATTGAATGAAGTGGTTACTTCTAAAAAGTTTTTAGCACTAACCTACTTTTCCAACCTTATTTTCTGTTCTTCCACTTGGCCTGAACCAGTATTGCTTATGTCTCTTGTGCAGCTTTTTTTCCAGTTTAATACTGCTTATCCTTCTAATCCAGCTGAACTCCTTCCTCTTGCATAAAACAGAAGGTAGCTGCCCAAAGACAGCAAAGGCCACTTCCAACCTCCCCCATTCTTCACGCCTTCTGTATTAAGCGTAGAAGACCCGTGTCCTGGCTACTCAACACTTGCCAGCCGTCCTCGCAAGCTGTCATTATTTGTCAGCATAGTAAGCAGTTGCTAACCCAAGGGCCTGCGCGCCACAACAGGCCTTTGTACCACTGAAAGCTCTGAAAGGTCCACCATCCCTGCCCTGGAGAATCCTTAACGCTGCCTGGACAACACGTTTGTCTTTTTCCGTTCAATTGGACTAGATGTTTTTTCCCTCCGTTGTTGAACAGGTTTGTGTTCTGCTGAATTCTAGTTGAAGAAATTGAACTAGCATCTATATGTATTCTATAAAACAGAAAGAAGAGTAGAGCCCAGTTCTCAGTAGAAACACGCTAACCCTGTCACCCTCAGTAAGCCAGGCCATGAGATGGGCAGGTGATAGGTCAGTTCATGAGCTAACTTTCATCATTTGGGATTTCTTTAATTCAGCATGCATTCTGGGTGTAATAATCGGGCAATTCATGATGACAGAAAGCCATCTAATGTTGGTTAACTTCACAGTGGGGTTACTGTCACGTGTAAGTGGCTCGGGGGTAGGAGCCCCCGTGCTGCATTGTGGCAGGTCAGTGCTGGAACCAGACGCCTGTTCCACGGACCGAGCAGCTCATCCAGACCATGAAGCCGAGACTAGGGATCTGCTACGAGCATGGCAGCTCTCACTTCCCTTGTTCACATTTTTAAGATATTTACTTAGAAAATGGTGATGGCGGGCAGTCACTGAATCTTTTGAAATATTTTGTTGTTGTTTTCTGTACTTCTTTGCCAAATAAATAGCCCTTGATTTGTTTAAATGAAATATGTTAAAAAGATGACTAGTTTAATAAATGGTGCCCTATCATATAGTGATATACTATTGTAACTGTTAAAAAGGATATATATATATATATATATATATATACACACATATATGAATTCAATATATATAACATAGCCTCCAAAACAAACTTTTATGTGTATTTGTACATGCATAAAATATTTCTGGAAGGAGATTTTTTTTTTTTTTTTTTTTTTTGGTGCAACCGGGGATTGAACTCAGGCCCTTGCAACTTGCCAGGGAAGTGCTTATCCCACTAGGCCATCTTCCCAGCCCCTTCTGGGAGGAGATGTAATAACTTAGAAATAACAATGTCTTTCTGAAAAAAGGAACCAGAAATTGATGTTAGGGAAAGAGAAAGATTTAATTTCACTGCAGATATTCTTTTGAATTGTTTGACTGTATTGTGTGTATATATTACTTTTCCAGGGGAAGTAAATTTGTTTTCTGCATGGTATATATCTAAATGTCAACCTTAGATGTTAATTTTAAATGAGTAGAAACCATGTACAGTGCTAATTGGTGCTATTACTTGTTTGATTTTCCAGCAGTTAGGAAACCAACTACACTGATTTGTGTGTCTCTGTTTTTCAGAGTTACCTCCATCTGGGAGAACAGTCTGCGGATCACCACAGTCTCTAGTCTCGTGGGCGCATGGCTTGGAGCGTTTCCTATTCCCTTAGATTGGGAAAGACCCTGGCAGGTTGGTTTCAACTACTTAAAGCAGTAAAACGCCTGTTGAGACGGTGTGGCCAGGCTGCTGTTCTGTTGCAGCTCAGTTCCTTCTCCCAGTGCAGTATGGGCGGCGGCTTATTTTTTCATTCCAGTGATGGGGGCATCCACGTTGGCCTGCACTTATCTTCCAGCAGTATTTTTTTTTACATGTATGAGTGAATAAATAGATTTATTTTGTGAATACATATAGGGTTTTTTTCTTAACTTTTAGTCTGAAGTTATACAAATTTTCTGTTTTTAACCTTTATTTTCATTACCCTCTGGTCTTACATTTGTTTTTTTCTTAATATGGTAGATGGCAGATTGAATGTTGATCTTGAAATATATTCAGAAAATTTAAAAAATTGATACAGTATCAGAAAAAGCTCACAAACCCCAGATTTTTCATTTCCTATTAGGATAAAGCCAATCTGGTGGGTAAAGCACTTCAGATAAGCATTTTTCTCAGCCTCATATAGCAGAGGAAGTCAACACCTGGAAGTCACCTAACCACTAGATGACGGACATGTCTTTATCTTTTTCTAATGATTTTGTTATATACTATTGTATCGTTAGTCTGTCATTTAATAAATTGATTACTGCTCATTAGTATTTTGCTGTAATGAAATACTGCTATGATAAGCATCTTTGAATCCATAGCTTCATGAACTTTTCTAATTACTTTCCTAG